ACAACTGCCCCAGCATTACTCAGGAATTTAAAAGAGCCAAAGAAACTCCTGAGTCGAGGTTTCAGCAAGCAAACAACTTTTATTTTGATCAAAATAGAGTTGGGTGACCCCATCTCTCTTCGTGGCTGGTAGAGAGATGAAGGCAACAACCAGAAAAGATGTCTTCCACCTTTTATACCTTTCCAGAACAAAAAGATCAAGTCTTGGTACTAGGCATAAGATGGCACAAAAAAACAATTCTTAGATGATGACTCATACACAGCAACCCAGGCTCCATCCGTAACTCCTTTCCCCCTTCCATATAAGCAATCACCTATACCTAAAGCATGAAGCCCTTACTTTTCCAATATATATATAAAGCATCTGATCAAGCAATTAACTACAAAATAATTACAAAATAACAAAACAATGATTACATGATAACACTATAAGTATCAATATAAAATGGTTACTATATATAAAATAAATGCTAATGTCAAACTTAAACATACTAAAATCATAAGCACAATAAAATCCCTTCAGAACTATCATTAGAAAATCATGATATAGTCAAGCAAAATCAAGACACACATTATAATTAAATTCCAACTGAAATCTTCCTACTTAATCAGGTGATACTGGTTGGATTTAACTCCTGGTGACTGTATGATCAAATACTCTCTATCTTGACCTGTCTTAAACAAGTATTTTGAATCATGCTGCATTGGTGAGTGGGGAATGCAGGCTTTACTTGGAAGTTAGCCCCATTGATATCACTGCAATTTATTGCCAAGTAGCAGTGCAAAATATAAGCCTACCAAATCATTATTTTTAAGTGCAATCCTGTGTACAGTTTTGTAAACAAGCACAATATTAAAAGATAAGCAGTACCTTTCAAAACTGGGGCGGAGACAATTCTTGGTAATCTCTGGGAAAGATGGGGAGAATGAAGACCAAAAATAAAATCAGAAAATGGAGCAACCATGAGGTTGCTTTCCTGCAGTCTCTCCCTCATATTAAAGGAGTAGACCATGGTATACTTCTCTGAAACAAAAAATACCAAAAATATCCCAAGATCAAAGAAAAAAATAAGGCTATGATTCATCTCAGCAAATAGACACTTTCAGAAGCATAGAGACTTAAAATTTGCATTGATGGTTATATTACTAACACTATAGTGGTCCTTTTACTTCCTTCGTTTTTAGGAAAGATACTGGAATGAGGCAAATAAACTCCTAAGCAGCATATAGGACAAATCATAAAAAAAACAAAACAGGAAAAGACAAGAAAAAGGCACTATATCGACAAAGGCGCGATTTTTACGCCTCCCTACTCACAGGAACTCGATCTGGGTATTTCTTTCGAATTTTCTCTCCTTCTTTTTTTCTGTACTCAAAAGGATGGTCTTCCTTGTACTGGAACTTCATGGCTTGATCAGATATGAAAGTGTCTTCTACTATCCCTGTCTCCTTAATAGTCCATTTCAACGCTCTTAACAATCGCGATGAGAAAACGCAGCTGCCGAGAACTTCAACTTTCGGGGCGATTCGCTTGCTTCTAAACCAGCTGATTAAAGGATAAACATACACCGCCCAAGACCTGTATTGTGACGTCACTCTGAGTAAAATCGGTATCTGCCTCCGCCTGCTTCGCAGACTGCACCACGTCAACTTGTGGGTAAAGACAAAAGGCGACATGTCTGAGGCCGTCATTCAGAAAGCTCGTTCCCAGACAATCAATGGGAACACTCCCACTGCCGTTAATGACGAAATCTTTGCAGATGGAAAGGCAAGAAGAGTGAGATTACTCTTGTTTTTTAAACTTTACAAATCATTCTGCGTTTTACAGGAATAGAAGGAACTAAGAAAATGTTGACTCCAATAAGAATGCAATTCTACATAAGATTGAATCAGATAATTTACTGGTTCTATATACAATGACTTTAGTGTATCTCCTAAAGTTTAGTTTATATAAACTATAAATCAATGAATAAAATCAAAATATTTAAAGTCACATGATATTGTGTATGCTACATTTTTCCTAATTCAAAGAGCAGTATGAATTACTCAATTTATAGGATCTGCTTTAAAGTTTGGCAATCTCAAGGGAAACAGAGTTGTGACACCATTCCTGAGAAAGTCCACTCTCTGCAGCCCATCAGCCGGATTGCCTGTTCTAATGTGCACGTGATTAGCTACAAATAGTTGGCTTTTAGCAGTCAGTACTATCTTCCCCGGTAATTGGTTGCCAGAAGTAAACTGGAATTAAAGGGGTCAAGTTTTTGTGGACTGTCCTCTATAAGTGGTAAGGATCATCGTCTTCTCCTGATAAAACTCTTCACTATGCATAAGAACTCCTCCCACCCCTCCCTCACAAATACCTAGAATTGGTCTGATGTTTTACAAATTTATTAAGAATAATTTGAATTCCTTTCATTAGAATTTATTCACAGTTGCAACTATGATGGTGTAGAACTGTGACTGTATTTGGCAATAGGACCTTGTTGATTAGTGTAGCTAGCAGCAGTGAAGTAGTTGCCCTTAGCAACATTCATCCTTCTGCACTTGGGGGCAAATGATAGTAGCTATCTGCTTCTGAGGGCTCTGAAGTAGACCTTTTTCACCTCTTTTTTTTTTTTTTTTTTTGCTTTGAAGCAGAAAACACTTGTCCTCTCTTGGCTGCTGTTGAAAGAACATCTTCATCAGGGTCCAATCCAAGCTGGGAATAAATAAAATGGAGACTGCTTTAGAAAGGTTGTAGTTTATGGAAGAGCACAGCCAGACAGAAGCGTGGCTCTAGGAAAGCTGACCACATGTAGCTGGGAATGGTGAGTTTTTATACCTTCTTTGGCTTTTGAGGTTGTTTCCTGTTCCTGTTTGGGGCTTTGTATTTCCTGTGTCATGTACTTTGACCTGAGTCTAAGTGTGCCCTTTTAGTATTGGTGGGTTAATCCTATTATATCCCCAAAGGTCATGTCTTTTAGAGTTTGGGTGGGGCATGTAGATTTTAGGGGTCTTTGTCTTCCTAATCTCATCAGCTTCCTGGCTCCAACCTTCCTGAATGGATTATTACATCTGCATTTCTAAAAGCTGGTTTCTGCTGAGTTTTCTGGATGGGAGGGAGGGAGAAGTGTCTGCCTTTTTAAAGAACTTCTCCATTATTCTTTTGGAGAAATATATTCTGCCTTTTTAATATTCCCCAAAATATTTCTTTCTCTGGATTCTTCCCACACTGCCCAAGCAGATAAAAAAGCAGCTGTAGTTTAATTGCTGATAGGGCTTGGTTGCTTCTTTTGCTTTCTTAAAGAAGTAAAAAATGGCAAAGATGTCCATTTACAAATGTAGGTGCCTCTGCAATGGCAATGTTTGGCCACATTGATACCTGATGCTCTGAGGCTTGCCTGTCTTTTCAGACACCAAAAAAGGACATTCTGCTTAGTTTACATTTACCGTAAGCCTGAACATAATTGTCACTACTATATTCATTTATTTGTATTTAACTTTTTTTTCATATACATTGTCCCTCCATACATCTTACAATGAACACACTAGCTAGATGCATGCATCTAAAAATGATGCTTTATATAAAAAACATTTGCAAGGGTATTGAGCTTTTTTATCATATTTTTTCTGCATAATTCATTGAATTGAGATCTAGATGTCAATATTTTCATTTTATGTCCCCCTCCGCCACTTTCCCCTTATAGTGCTGTTAGATGGATTAAGTTATGACTACCTTAGCTTTTATATGGCCACAAGATTTTATTTTCCTTCAAAAGATTTTTGTGTTGTAGGAAAAAATCTAAAAATGATAAATGTGTAATATTTTTATTAGCACCAATCCAAATGACAGAATTACAAAACCTTCTGTTACAGCTTGCATTATTCTGATTGGTCCTAATAAAAATGTAACCTAGCCATGAGTTTTCTATTTTACCTTAGTCATTATAACCTTACCAACTCCCAGAGATTTGCACGTTTTATCATGTCTTGGTTTACATCATACTAGGAGAAACAATCTGTAGGTTGATTATTATTTTTTAACATTTAAGGGTGTTTTAGTATTGCTATTCTGCAGCAATTGCTATTCTGTCTACATTTCTTTTTCATACAAATGTAGCCTAGTAATAAATCAAAGTGACTGGAATGACATGTATGTGTAAAACAGGAATGTACTTGAAGTGAAAGTGGGATGTCCTATGTTCCAGCAACAACAGCATGACTCAGGGAACTGACTCTCCTCACCCTCAACTTCGGGAGGCAAGCTCTTCCAATGACTAATTGTTCTAACTGACAGGAAATTTCTCTTTAGTTCCAGGTTAGAGCAAGCTTTAATGAGCTTCCATTCATTGCTTTTTGTCCTATCCTCAGATGCTTTGGAGAATAAGTCAGTCCCCTCTTCTCTTTGGCAGCCCTTCATGTACCGGAGGATAGTTATCATATCTAATCTCTTACTTTGTTAGGCCAGACGTATCTAGTTCCCTTAACTGTTTATCATAAGGTTTAGTCTTCAGACCCCTTAAGACGGGTGTCAAACTGCTGGCCTGCGGGCTGGATGCATCATAGCAAAATCGCGCCCACCCCATTGCCAGCAATGGCAAAAAAGTCATGATACATTACGACACGTCATGTGACGTGAGTGTGACACCCCTGCCTTAGAATCTTTGTTCCTCTTCTCTGCACTCTTTCTATGGTCTCAACATCTTTTTTGTATCTTAGCAATCAGAACTAGATGCAGTATTTCAAGTGTGACCTCATTGGTGCAATATAGAGCTGTACATCACTTCTGACTTTTTTATTGTTTTATCATAAAAGATAACATACAAAACATAAAAACAAACTAACAAAATAAACACTTCAGCCAGGTCTCTATATTCCTCCGATATCTCTGGTGATTCCTTCTCCCCCCCTACTGCAGCTTTCTTGGCTGGGACTCCCCCTTTCTGGGGCTGGGCTAGTTCCTTAGCTGATTCCCCTTTTGGGAACCTGAGTTCTGTCATCCTCCAGTCCACCCGTGGGTTCCACTTAGTCAGCCATGCCATGCCCAGGATGAGGGGACACTCCATGCCAGGAGTCACTACAAATGTTATAGTCTCTACATGGTCCCCTATGGTGAGTTGGAGTGGCAGGGTAGCTAGTGTGGCAGGCATTCCCCTCCTATGGACCCATCTAATTGACCGAAAGAGATCAGTTTCTTTAGCCTCACCAGAATCCCCAAATTCCCCACCAATTTTGGGCTTATGAGGCAACGGGTGCAGCCAGAGTCAATTAATGCCCTGATTTCCACGCTTTCGGGCATGCCTGGGGCCAACAATTCTACTGTCCGAGTGAGGGGCACAATGGGTCCACTTGCTAGGGGTTTGTCTTCTGAACTATCGCCCGATGACTTTGGCGTCCCTCCTGAATTAGTCAGGGTTCCCTTTCCTCGTTGGGCTGCTGCAGAAACTCGACTTCTGTGCCCTTCATGGCTGTCTCCTTTGGCTTCACTGGGGTCTTTCTGGGTTTTCCAGCTGGCGCTTGGTCAGGCTTTTGAGTAGAGGTGTGGGAACAGCATTCTGTGGCACGGTGCCCCTCTTTCCCACATTTGAAACATCCTGAGGTTCTCTTAGCTGCTGGTGTTTGCTTTGCTGGCTCACGGATTGCCTCCGATGGCAATCTTCCCCATGATCTCCCCCCTCGGCGTTGTCTCTTGGCCAAGTCGATCTCTGCTTCTTCGGCTGGGACATACCAGTCTTGCAATTGGTGGGGGTCTTCTCGGGGGAGGCAGGCATCGTAGAGGTCGTAATTTAGTCCGTCTTTGAAGTGCCTGAGCAGGATGTCTTCTGGCCAATTTAGTTTGCTGGCCAGAGCTTGAAACTCCTGGGTATATTCTGCCATCGGTTGCCTGCCCTGTTTCACTGTCTTTATCCGCTCCCATGCTGCCTTCCAGTCAGCTAAGGGGTCTTCGAAGTGATGCCTAAGGGCAGCCATGAATTGATTGAAGTTTAGCAGCTCTGGTGCATCTGCATCATGGAGGTCTACGATCCAGTCCGCTGTGATGCCATCCAGGGATGCTTGTACAATGCGGACCCTGGCTCAGTCACTTGGGATGTCGCGGCCATATTCCTCCATGTAATTTAGCACTTGAGTCAGGAAAAATCCCAGGCATCGTGGCTCTCTGTGGTACTTTACTTCCAGTGACAGGAACTTCTGGATCAATCAGTGCCTCTTCTTCCGCTTGTGTCGTCTCCCCTCTCTGTCTGCGGTTGCTGCTCAATGAGGGGTGGCTGTGGTGGCGGCAACAGCTGCAGTTTCGATGTTGCTTTCGGAAGGGTCTGGGATCTGCCCCTTTGGCAGAGCCCAGGCGAATGGTGCCCCTGTATGGTTTAGTTTTCTCTTCCCTCATGGAGTCGAGAGCTATTTTCATCATGCCGATTGCTTGCTCCAACAGTCGGCTGAAATGCATCAGTCGGTCCTCCTCGTCTTCCCTAAGGTGGAGGGGCCTCTCCATCTCAACCTTCCAACCTGGTTGATGACTACTTTGTCTGAGCGTCACCTTCCTGGCTTTCTTCTCCCAGTCCTCCTTCTTCCCAACACCCATCGACCACCTGGGCTTGTGGCGGCCACTTCCTCTTCCAATGAGCTTGAGGATATGGAACTGGAGTATTTGCAGGGGTCTGCTCGGTGGGAGGCTTCCCTCCCATT